ATATATATATATATACATATGTATCACTCTGTGCCCGAACAAGGAGCCCCTCAAAACTAACGGCGGCAACGTCCAAATCGAGAGTTTTGGTGCCGATGCATGTGGACCTTCGTGTGAACCGGCTCCCACAGCTGCAGCTGATAACAACAACTAAAGCTGTTGCTGCTCCTGCTTCTTTCTACTGCTGCTGCAACCACTACTACCACAACCGTGGGTGGCGCATTGGTGCAGCAGCAGCAGCAGTAGCAGAAGCAATAGAAGCTGCCCCTGCTGCTTCAACCACCATTTCTGCTGTTGCCGCTGCGATTCCTGTTAATGCTCTTGCTTTTTGGCGGCTTCTTCTACTTTGACCACGATCACGGCAGGGTGGTTGTCCGTGCAACATCACGCCTCGAAGCAAGGACCAACTTCATCCGGACCCGCGCCGACCCGACTCTATTCTACCTGCCGGCGTCACGCGGCTGAAAAGTGTTTTGACAGGAGAAGAGGCCGGGTCCAGGGGATTGGTCAGCTAACAATGAGCGGAGTCAGATGTGAGCGATATTTCCGATTCAGATAGGGGGTTGGTGTGTTTGGGGGGCCGTTTGTTCAGTCGGGCTTCCCCTTGCAAGTTCCAGAATACGGCGCCCTCGCCCATCGACCACTGCAGTCCTTGCAGAGCAGCTTAGGAAGCACAACCCGGAGACGGAGAGGTGCTTGCAGGAGACCCGGGACACTATTCAGCAGAAGGCCCGGATTAGTTTCGGGCGTTGCTGCAGCCAAAAGCAATCTGCAGTCCGTGAGATGTCAGCAAAAACTCCTTCCGAGCACACCGTCTAGAATTCAATCGGGTACTGGCCGTTCATCCGAGTTACAGCACCCAATCGTCACCGGACTACTATTGCACGAAACCACATAAACAGCAACAGCAACAACAACAACAACTACTACTACTACTACTACTACTACTACTGCAACTACTGCAGAAAGCACAAGTGTGATGTGGAACTGCAGAGGCATGACACTCGAAATGAGTGAGGTCGTTGCTTGATATCGGGCAACACACCCTTCACCATAATGGTTAAGGAGAATTTACTGATATTTGTCTATAGCCCTGCTTCGTGACTCGCTACTACGGCTACGACGACGACGATTAGTACTTCTTAAACAGCAGCCGCCACCACAACCATATCGACACAACAACCACAACAACCACAACAACCACAACAACCACAACCACCTCAACAGCTTGTACCCTATTTCGCGACTCGCTCAGCCATGTAGGAGGCAAAAAAACCACAACACGCAACAATAATATGCAAAAAAGCAACGCCCAGCATGCAACAAGCATCCAGCAAGCAGCAACGGAGGGCGTATTTTGCACTCCCTTCTTGTTTTTTATTTTGCTCCCTTTTTTTTCCCTTTTCCCCTGGTCCGGCAGTCCCCTGGTCCTGTGGTCCTCCGGTCCCTTGGTCTTCTCGCCGCCTGGTCTTGTGGTCTCCTGGTCCCGTGATCTTCTTGGTCCCCTGTCTTCTGGTCTCATGGCCACCCCTGTCTTCTGGTTCCCTGGTTTGCTGATCACTCTGGTCCGCTCAGTTCTACCTGCCGGTTGGTGCCCTGCTTTGGTCCCTTCTCTGTCTGATCCTCTCATTCCACGGTTGCCCTGCCCCTGGTCCCCCTGCTGCCCTGGCCTCCCCAATCCCCCTTCGGCCGAAAGGAAGGAAGGAATACAGATAGAATCAAGCAAAACCAGAAAGACCCTGAGCCCTGACTCAAAACACTGAACCAAACAAGGAGCGAAGGAACGAAAGAAAAAGGAAGGCTAAAAGTAAAGAGCTAAGGAGCAGAAGAGAGAAAGACAGAACCACAGGCAGAAGCAAGGACTTTTTGAATGAAAGACAGAGAGCGAGAGAGAGAGAGAGAGAGAGAAGGCTTTTCCCCACAAGGCCCGACAACAGGGGCGCACCTCACGGTGCGGGGAACCTGACCCGTTCTCTGGACCCCGGAGAACAGAACTGAACAGAGAGAAGGCAAGAACGAAAGCCAGCAAGCCAAAGATGCAGGAATAATGAAAAAAGAGTAGCAAATGACAGAAAGAAAGACATAAGACAAGACACAAGGAGACAGATTTCAATCTGAGGAGAATAACGACACAGACACGTAAAGAAGTGAATCCATGAAGAACAAGAGAACTACTAATGGATTGTTTTTGTTTTTTCTTGCTTGTTGCAATTGCTTGTTTGCTTGTCGCTTATTGTTTGTTGTTGCTTGTTGCTTTTTGCTGTGTGCTACTTGCCAGGAAACACTTGTAGATATTGACTATCAAAGCCAGTATTTGCCATGTCTAAATTATATATGGTACCCCCCTCCCAAGCATCAATAGATTCATAGAGTTTCCTGCTGTTGGTAGCATCATGAGCATAAGCCAGAGCGGCTCTGAGCGTTCGCGCACCACCTTGACCAGCATCATGAGCATCAATCAAAATCTTTTCCAACCTTGAGGGGCAGTTCCCGACTACAGGCCTCCAAAAGGATTGTTTGTTTGGGACAGCACCGCACTTTTGCAAGACAACTAGCAAACATGCTGTAATAACTGTCCCAAAACAACCTATCTTTTTTTTCTAAAGTGCTGTACTGTCCCAAAAAAACAAAAAATCGTACCTTCAAGAACAAGAGTCCATCTCAGCCTTTCAGAACCCATGATGCAGGCCTTGTCTTTGCCAATGGGGGGGGGGGCTGCGCCCGCCCAATCCCCCCGTTCAAGCCGTGCAAGCTTAAGTTCCAGAACATGTCGCCATTGAAAGTAACTGCGTCAAACACAGAACGCTTATGGAACCCTTCACAACTTATCCTAGAAGCATCGTCCAGGTTTTTGCAAACAAGGGGGGCTGCGCCCCCCCCCCCCGCTTCTTAACCGTGTAAGTTGGAGGAGCATCGTGTCATACTGCTACTGCTACTGCTACTGCTACTGCTACTGCTACTGCTACTGCTACTGCTTCTACTTCTACTGCCAATGCTACCGCCGCTGCTATATACTGCTACAGCTATTGCTACGGCTACGCCTGCGCCTAGGGCTACGGCTATGGCTACAGCTACGGCTGCTGCTGCTGCTGCTGCTGCTGCTACTGCTACCGCTACCGTTGCCTAGTGTTACCACGACGACGGCGACGGCGACGACGACGACTACTACCGTGGCCGCCGCCGCCACCACGACCGCCGATATGACTGTCGCTCGTGCAAACGATGTTGACTGCAACATATTCTCGAAGCTCTGCCCAAAGTTTCACCGCCATCCTACGATGCTGAGTTCACAGGTGGTCCAGCGGAACTCCGAGTAAAAGCTTCTGAAAACGTCCCGTGAACATTCTTGGCTATGCTGTGTGCCTCAGTGTCGTTGATCCAACGAACAGGTCCGTCTTCTACCCAAGCATCTCGGCACCTCCACCCTGGCGGTGGATGCTGAGGAGGCTGAAGAGGAAGAGGAGCCTTATTTGCACTCATGCCTTTGACAGCTCGTTCGGTGCTGAGGAACTGTCCAAGGCTTTCAAGGTTTTCTATGCAAAGAAAGGTTTTGGGGACAGAGCTGCGTGTGGATGTCACGGGTTTAGGCAAACTTCGGAAATTTCCATCCAGGCACGAGTGAGACGGCCCAGGACATCTCGGCATGATTGTCCGGCACTAGGACTGCCTGTATAGTAAGGCTAACCGGCTGAACCAACTAAGAGCCCTGAAACTCTGAGCTCACTGGAATCCCGAAGACCACAAAGCTTCTTTGCCCTTCATGATGCTCGAGGAGGGCCTGCAGGGAGGGGAGGAGGACGAGGAAGAAGAGCCCGAGGAGGTCGAGGAGGAGCCGAAGAAGCTGCGCAACCTGGGCTGCAGTCCAAATCGGTCGCTCAGTCCTTGGTTGTGGCTGCGGGGTCCAAAGGTGGTGGTGTCATGCGGTGTCAGATGCACGGCGGCTGTAAGAGCAGTTGATTGCCAGGGTAACCATGCAGGCGGTCAGGATGATAATTTTTCGTTGTTGCTGTCAGTGAGACGCTTTGACTCCAGTCGTTGAAGCGTGCCGCGCATGCCAACCAGTCGGTCGTTATTCGCTGCTCAAGTACGCGCAGACGATTTAGCCCAGTCTCTCGCGTGAAGTCTACGGGCAGGGCATCTCAGAAGCTTTATGTTGCAACTGTTTTTCAGCAGGTCGGTTCTTGCTTTGTTCCGGTGCTACAGCGTCGTGCTAAGCGAAGAGGAAGTCAAACCTGCAAAACAAGAAACCCGCCACAAAAGTCAGCTAGCACCGGCCGAGTGGAATGCACAATCTACTGCTTGAGGCTTTTTAAGCTTGATCGTCATGCCAAAATGTGAATGTGCAAGCACGGATCTAATGGCTCGTACTTCGCAGGCAGAGAGAGGGGAGCGAGGGGAGAGAGGGAGAGAGAGGATAGAGAGGGCAGAGACAAAAAGCGAGAAAAAGGAGCGAGGAGGGAGAGGGAAGGGGTGGAAGGGGAGAGGGGAGAAGAAGGGGGGAGAGAGGGGAGAGAGAGGGGGTAACCGAGGAACCAAACAAAGAGAGCACAAATAGAGATCAGGGCACCCCAACAGGGTGGAGAGACGGCGGGAGGAGAGAAGGCAGACAACACGGAGAGAAAACGAAGCGCAGCATGACAAGCCACTCGTGCACAGAGCGGCGAATCCGTAAACAGTATACGCTAATGAGCTCGGCTTAGTTGAACCTCAAGACTTAGGCGCAGAGACGAACGGGGAGGAAAAACCGGCTCTTGCACCCCGCCGCCGCGCAGCTCTGACACCGGCGAAAGCTGCGTGAGCCGCAGTAGGAGCCAACTCTCATCATTGCAGCCTAATTACGCACAGTGCAGCTCAGGCGTTTACCTGTATCAACGAGGTTTTTAGACGGGTCTGGCATGCCTTACCGAGGGAAGCACTTTTTAGAGGAATGCTAAGGGCTCTTCCACTTTCATGCGTTTCCATTGTTCATATGAACTACACATGTTTGCTTCTGGATGTTGTAGACTGCTTGCGTTGAGGTCAGAAGGCCCTCTCACTGCAACAAACGGTTTTGTAAGCTAATGGGTTCCTGTTTAAAAAGAAGAGAAGGCGATGTGGCCGGATGCTGGTACACAGGGTGAGAACGTGAAATGAAGGATCTGAAGATGAGGATGCAAAAAGGCCGCTGGCTGCTGCCTGCTTCTCGTGTTAAGCCGGGCTGCATAGATGATGTTCTACTTGTAATGCTCCGGCGTCAAGCTAATCATGCTTGCCTGTAGTCAGGATGAGGTTTTGTGAGAAGTGCCTCCCCAGGCACCCAACGAACCACTTCAAGTTGCTTCCCTCGCTCGCTTGGGCCATGTGGCTCCAGGTAATCGAAGTAGGGGGTTTGCGCCACAGGTTGGGGGCCTCAACGATTAGGATGGCCATGACCTGGGAGCCGCGGCCTACCGGGGTGCCACGTGCACGGTGGGCCGATGTGGTGGATTCGTCGCAGGAGCAGGAGGAGATCGCGTGATTTGTTTGAACTCTTTTGTGCAGTGAGGGATGTTGTCGGGGCAGTCATAGACCACATGTGTGAGTGCTAAGACGAGATTGAAATTATGTTGAGACGTGTCTCTGCGCGCCCATTCAAAAGGGCTATCGTGCGTGTGGAACGTGCTAAGGGTCCACCCTGGCTGCGACAGCGCAGCGTAGCTTTTGCATAACGCGCTGCAGTGCTTTATTCAGGCAGGTCTGTCTTATTTTCTTCGAGCCCTGGTTTCTGACAGGATGCCTCACAACAGGAAGTGCGAGCATCACAGCTTCTGCATCAAGATTCATACCAAGATTCCCAGGCCTCGCAGCAGGCACGCTTTAGCATTGGGTTTGTGCTGGCGCTTGCGCGGTCTATGCATACTTGAAGTGTTCTGGAACTAGCAGCAGAGGCCAGTCGTTTTGGCAACGGCAAACCTAGCACTCTCTCGTCTGCAGGCCTCGCAAAGCGGCATCTGCGACCTGCTGCGCAACAACGCGAACCTCGCCGAGGTCTTAAGTGCTACTTACCCAAGCCTTGCTACACTGCATCCCTAGACGACCCTGGGGGGCTCATTTCGAAGCTCCATAAGCTCAGATTCAGACAAGGAATCATGTGCAGTGCTTCACTTCATGCCGTCTTTCTCTCTTCAACCTGTTCGACTCGGACCTTGATCGTAATGCATTGTGCCGGCAAGTCCCGGAAGGGGTCGACTCAGGACTCACTTGCGAGAAACGTGCACCTGCGTTATTGTTTTGCTCGCCCAACCTCGCACCAAACAAAAGAGCATGCCCACGTTATTCTGGGCTGCTGTGTGCAGAACAACATCCGCTCGGCTCGCCGCATGTGGAGCAAGCTCCACACTGTGCAACTAGGAAGGGTTTTGTCACCCGGGCATGTGAATTTTGATCAACAACAACCTAACCAGCTGCTGGACGAAAACAAAAAAGACAGTTGCCACCCGTTTCCTTGTAACTAGTTCCGTCTATGGAGTCTTCGGGGCTTTGATTCGGGATCCCTTCCGGGCCACTCTGCCGGGGCCCGTGCCGGCCATCGATGGAAGTCGGCCCCGATAGTCGGTCGCACAATGTTGGCGACTTTGTCGGGGGGTGATGATCGTGAAGAGATGCCGGCATTGGCGTTGGATGCATTGGCAGCAACCCACACAATAGGAACATCAAAACCGGTTGACAGTCCCAAAACGGTGATTATGTTCGTCAGCCATTATGCATTGTGTCGTTGTGATGCCCCTCCTCGTCCTGGTTGCCGCTGCAGCTACCGTCGTCGTCGTCGTCTTCCTCGGCTTCGTCAATGTCGCGGCATGGGGTTTGCCGGTGTCGGTGGGACGGTGGGAATAATTTTGTTTTCGAGATCGTGGCATTCAAGCCAATGCAAGATATCTTTCCATTGGGTACCGGGCAACTTGCCTTCGAAGGGAGACTGCGGGGATCTCCGTTTGTGTTATCCAGATGCTGCTTGGAAACGCACCTCGGCCGAGACCCCTTCGATAGGTTCCGATTCAAGTTGGGGCCCAAACCCGCTCCGTAAGCCAAACTGGGAACCTCGCCCCTGAGTCCCTGCACCGATCAGGCCGGCGCCTCGCAAGATGATCGGGTGTGCAACTTACACCTTGCTCCGATCCTGCGCGCTAAGGGTTGAAGTCGTCTGTTCCTTTCGAAGAGGGTTTTTAGAAGCAGAAGCTGCACTGAAGGCGCAACTCATATTGCATGATGAGGTGGGCGAGAAGTACGGAATGTCTAGAGCCTACAGAGCCATAGCAGGTGAAGTTCCCTCCACATACGTCTGTGTGCATGGTGCATGCGTGCCGTGAGTATGCACCTATGCACACACATAACTCCGCAGAGCCCTGGGTGCTTGATGAAAGATATGCAGATGGAATGATGTTTAAACTTTACACTCTAGCCTAAAACTCGGAAGCCGCAGGCGATCGCAGCGCCAGCCGTTCCATCTTAAGATGCAGCCCTCAACCAAACGGCCCGAACAGCGTCTGTGACGTAGCCATGTTTGACATTCCCTCAGATGCCGGACAGAGAAGTGGCCTCGAGCTCCACGGACCGCCCAGGCACCCTAAGCGGGGACCAAGTGGTTCAAGTTTCCGGGAGGCTGTTTCAATAGATTGCTGAAACAGCAAGTATCCATCCTAGATTTCAGTTATGTCACGGCTTCACATGCAAAGTTTTCGGGCAAAATGGATCCTGGGTTCTTGTGCAAGTCGGGGTTTGTTCGCGGCACTTTCAAATGCAAGTTGAAGGGATTGAAATTGAGGATGCGGGGCAGACTCGACCATGAGCAGCTCCTTCAACACGGTTGTCTCATACGGTCATACAGAAGGCCTTTGCCCTCCGCCTTGAATAAGACCATGAGTACGAGCAAAGCGAGGAAAGTGGCACCGGGAACGGCAGGAAACCAGCCACTCTTTGCAGATGCCACCTGGTGCAGTCGGGCGTCTTCGCACAGAGCAGCTTCGTCCAGCAACGCCCTAGGGCCCCGACAGGCATGGAACAGCAGCTTTCGTGTTGAACCAATGAAACCTTTGTTCACGGCAGGTTTTCTGTCCCGGAGACGCCACATGACCGAGGCATCGGTGAGCGAGGCCGTGATGACAGCTTCGAGTTTTGGTTGTTGCGGCTTCGCTAAGGATGGAGTCTACAATTTGGGTTCGTGAGTGTCGGCCTAGCTACGTGCTACGCAGCAAGCGTGTCCTTCTCGGAGGTTCGAGTGCATGTTGCACATTGCCGCTCGTAGCAGCACTGGTTGCAGCTTCGTGCGAGGAGTCGTGCGCATCAGCCGTCGGATTTCTGTCAGACATGCTAGCTAGTTAGTCGTACTTTCAGTTTGAGGTTTGCTTTGCTGCTTAGATTGCAAAATCGGCTGCAGCTGTGAAAAAATCCAGTTTTATGGTTTCCATGGTTTTCCGATATCGGTCAAAATCTTGTAGCCGTGGCCAGCACATGGATAGCATCTACAAGCAGCAAACGGACATACGGGAGAATGAAGCACGCAGGATCCGTTTTTTTTTCGGACGTCGCTACGAAACTCGACATCATTAGTGTTTAAGCTGCGGGTTGAAAAGCATACGCCGACGAGCGCTCATCCACGGCATCCTTCGAGGAAGACCAGCGAAAAAGGCACATGAAGGCAGGCCAATGGTCTAGAAGTGAGGTTCCCATCAATCTGCTCCGAGGCACGAGTCATAAAGGAAGTGGGCTGTGTAGAAGCCAGCTTGTACGGGATCTTCAAGATTCTAGACAGCAGGTCGTCATGAGTTTTCTGTGTAGGTCAGGCTGTGACGAAGCCATGCCCTTGATGTCGCCCATGACTCCCAAACTCTCTCGAAATAAACCCAAGTCCAATTCTACAGACATTTCTGGACAAGTGATTCGCCAGGCAATGGGAACTTTGGCCGAAGAGCCCGAAGTCAGCCCGGTCCGCCAGGAGCTGGACAATGCAGGGTTGCTGCTGCCAGAAGCTTGCTGTTCATCTTCTCGCTTGCATTCGAGTGTGGCAGTGCGGATACCACTTGCTCTGTTTGGTTTGAGGAGCGTCGTCCCTTGTCCTCGGTCCTGACCGAGGCACTCGGTGTAAGCTGCGCATGTGGCTTCAGCTTCGTCGTTTAGGAACGGTGTCCGGTTATGGACAAAGTCGATACGCAGTTCACAAATTGGCCGGAATCTGAACTCAGAGTTGTTCCAGTCTTTCAGAGCCCATACCGCACTCATGCCGCCTTATACAAGCAACTTGACTGCAGCTTGTCCTTCTAGTGGAGAAGCATGTGCCACTGAAAGCATGGATTTAGGAGGCTGGAGGGAGAAAGGCCAGATGGGCCTACGGGAGGGGGAGAGCGAGGCGAGGGCCAGGGAGAGAGATCGCAGGATTTTTCTTGGAGAAGAGATGCGAGACCCTTGTGCTAGGCCGCCTCGTCTCTGACTCCTGCACCTAAAGCGCAGGAGCGCAAACGAGGCGCCAAGGGGTAATTGCCTAGATTCACTCCGGGCCCGGCAAGAACCTACTTTGAATAAGTGTATGTGATGTAGACGCTTCCCAGCCTGCTGACTTTGGCTTGGGGCCTGCAGAACACAGCTGATGGTCGATCCTGATGTGCTGTGTTGACACCTCGTTTTAGCCAGTGGTGATCCTTGCCGTTCGAATGCAGTATCATCACAACGGCTGCTGCTACTGCCGTTCCCTTTGCTGGGGCATTTGCTACTGCTGCTGCTGCTTCTGCTGCTTCTGCTGCTTCTGCTGCTGCTGCTGCTGCCACTGCTCCTGCTCCTGTTCCCACTCCTCCTGCTCCTGCTCCTGCTCTGCTCCTGCTCCTACTCGTTCTACCTCCTCCTCAAACCATTTTCATCACACAGCACCACCGCCACACCCCCGCTACACCCCACCACACCACCCACCCACCCACCCACCCACCCACCCGCCCACCCGCCC